ATTTTATGGGATATCAAATCGAATGTATAAGCCTGATTCAACTTATAATATTTGGTTTATTGAATTAATCATACAAAAAGAAAAAAGAGAGAAAAGTCTTTATGAAAATACAATATCAAACATCATTCTAGGCTATATATTATATTATATGAATGAATATGATTCTAGTTTAGCATGGTTTAAAGGTATAGCCCCATCTATTATTAAATTTCATGTAACTGAAGGTCCCAATTCATTGATCTGTAGTTATTTATACAAATATTGTAAATTGTTTAAATATTTATTAATTAAATGTACAAATCCAATTAATTTGGATAAAAAATACATAGAAACTTATATGGAACAAGTGTATCCAATTCATTATGATTCATTTTATATATTATCAATAATATATCAAAGTCGTTTTGATTTTAAATCATCTGTTGAAATAATTCTATATTCAATTAACATTTACATTCAATTATGTTTATTAAGAGATAAAGATATGAATTATATTGCTAATGTTTACGAATATCTAGCAGTATTATATATAGACAAACACAGAAAAATTTTAAATACAGATATTCGTATAATGGCTATCAAGCTATTTCTGAAATCTTTGAAAATACATGCTACTATTCATCCAATAAATAAAGCCAAAATGATTACAATTTATTCATCAATTGCACGTTTGTATTTTGAATTAAAATACTATGGTCTTAGTATTTATTATTGCGATAAAGCAATTGAATATTGTTTAAAAACGCTTAGTAACTTATCACCTTATTTAGCTGATCTTTATGTGTTCAGAGGTTGTACGAGTGGCATGCTATACAAAATAACAAAGGAGCGCAATGATTGCCTGTCGTCTTTAAATGATTTGAAAAAAGCAGTTCAATTAGAAATCCCTGATGTAGAACGATTGGCAAGAGCACATTTTAACATTAGTGTTACGTATGGCAATTTACGTGAATGGGGTTTAGCATTGTCTCATCTCCAAAACATATTAAGTTTTTCATTTCAATCAAATGAAAATCTCATTATTGAAACATATAGATTTATGGGCAAAAGTCATATGGAGATAAAAAATTATGATATTGCCATTGATAACTATGAAAAAATTCTACAATTATTATCACCAGATGGCCATTTATCCATACGTGGTGAAATATTTCTAGCATTAGGTTTAGTTTATAAATTAAAATCTGATTATGAACAATCGTTAAAATATTTTTATTTGGCTATGGATATTTATAATACATATCATGTCGATATAAACGATCCATGTTTTGAAATAATCTATCGTCATTTAAGTGAAATATATAAAACTGAAAATAAAAACGAAATAGCACAAGATTTTTCTGATAAAGCTTTTAATGAAAAAACACGTTTAAACAAATTAAATATTTTTTCGTATCCAGATTTCAAGCCTTGTGCATTTACAGTATATTTAACTACATCAGTATTACAAGATTTCATTAATGATGAAACATTAACAAAAGAATTAACACGGTTATTTGGACAAACTTAGATATAGCATCCCAGCCCGCGACCCGGTGTGGAAAATCTGAATCGACAGTTCGATTCAGAATATTTTTCTCTTATTATACTGAAATGCTCAGCTCCGATCCTTTTAATTTATTTATAGATAAGGGAACAGAGGGCTGTATTTGCTGTGTTCATCCTCTGAATTGACTACCTGACTCTCTACACTGCAAACGAGAAGTGTATATTTTATTAAAAAAATTCACTTCAAGTGAATGACTTTTGTCCATTCACTATGTGTTCATGTATTTGCGCCATTTTTATGTTATGCACTGGAAATGAATGAACTATGCCGCGTTTAGGCACATGTCAGTTACATCGGTAGTGCATAATCCAATGTATTTTCGTTGGACTTTCAAAGCATCGCAGTGCATAATGAGTGGATGGACAATGCATTCAACGCTGCCATTCACATGCCATGCAATATTTTATGTACATTTAATGGCCATTTTCAGTGCGTAACAAGTGCATGCTGTGTGTATGGTCATTGAGTAAAATGCGCTTTCTTCTGTATAATGAGTCATAAGTGCTTTTTCCAACGAACCAGTATTTATTTACTTTTTGTAATATTTATTCATGAGTACTAAGTAATATAAATGACTTTCTTTCGTTAGTACGATAAGCTGAAATAAACGACATTGGGATGACAAAACGATTAGTCCTTAGAAAATAAGCTCTGAACTTGTTTCTTTCTTGCTTACTTCTGCATTAGGAAACTGTACTGGGCACTTTTTTCGCGATGAAAAGAATAACAATCAGTTGTACATCTGTGTATAAAATTAAATGAATATGGAGTTAAAGTCAAATTATTAAATTCGTGCATCGGCATATTCATTTATTTTTATGCACAGATGTACAATTACGCTAAAAAATTTTCTGCAATATTATGTCACATCGTGCTGTTTAGGATGAAGTATTCCGCATATTATTCATTTCAGCATGTAAATAAAATTGTACAGTCCGTGGATGTAGCATTCCTACTATGTTATTTTATCTCATAAACAGTATAGGTATTAGCTGTGGACAAATCGCAGAAATAAAGAGACTAGATTGCAGATTCAAAGAAAATTGATTCAAATATTGAATAAACAATCAGAAAATGATAATAAGACACCGACAGTGAAACTAATTCTATGTTAGAGAATAGTTCAATGCTTTTGAAAATAAGGTGTGGAGATTAATAACAACAATAATACGAAACTGTTATTAAATCCAAAAGTAAGCAAACATTGAATTAGATTCACAGTCTTCGAAAGAGGGAAGTAGAATAGACCAACAAAGAGGAATTTAATTCTGTACCAAACTGTATATTGGGTACCGAAATTAGTTAAGATTCCTCTGCGTAATATGTAAAGTATCAGAGTGCCCTAGTGTCTGAAACTGCACTGTTCAGACTTAAATTTGTTATAAAGCGTTTCTGATTGTTCAGTTCAGCATTCGACCAAAAGATGCACAATTCGAAGACCTACAACGCTGTATCAATTTTGTGAAAGTTATTCTTTTCTAGAAACAAGGCCTAACCCATGTTGTCGAAACCGACGGTTAACCACGGTTATTTCGGCTGAAACCATAACAACACAGCAGAAAAATCGACGGTTAAGCTCACAATTAACCGGAAAAACGATCGGAACTGATCGTTTTTCCGGTTAATTGTGAGCTTAACCGTCGATTATTCTGCTGTGTTGTTATGGTTTCAGCCGACGGTTAACCGTCGGTTTCTAAAATAACCGTGGTTAACTGCCGGTTTTCGATAACATCGGAAAACTTAATATCGTGCTAAGTAAAAGTTACACTATCACTAGTAAGTTATTTTTCCTTCAAATTCAAAATTCAAAATCATGAATTTGATACAAAAAGATGCAAGATTTTCTGCTCTATCGAACCACACTACCTTTCACATGAAATGATTGTTTCATTGAGACACAGCGAAGAAAACATGAAGCGAAAAGGTGGGCCGCAAAACCATCTACTTCACAAATAAGTCACCTCTAATAATCAACTTTCTTTCGGTTAGTTTGACAGTTTTCTGTTCACGATGAAAACATGCACACATAATGGGCAGTGGAAAAAGCTTTGATGTCGATTTCGTATTATACGCTGAATATGCTGACTATAATGAATACTGATATTCTCTTGATTTTAGCCTAGGGTCTTACAAAATGGTTGTCTGTGTGTGTGTGTGTGCACAAAATACGGAAAAATGGCTGACAGATATTCTATGGATAAGCGAATCGCAAGAGACAACAGTAGAAAAAAATTTTTTAAACAAGAGAGAAAATATTCAAAGAGATCATCTGAAATATTTACTGATGCAAAGAAGTGAACAGCTCAGCAACCGTTTTCTGAGGGCCGGGGGTAGATGTCGCCAGATAGCAGTCAACTGTGACGATACAAAAAAAGCGGTCTACGGGTAATAAAATTGATAGTGTATAGATAATCTATTATAACGAATCGATCAGAAATACTTCCAACCTCCTTGGGGTCTGCAGAGAATATGCAGAAAACCTTTAAACTTTATATTACATCAGATGGTTTTTTGGTGGAATCAGAGAAGTTCATAGCGTTTCTCATCTATACTGGTTGCGAACGCCGAAAGAAGGGAAGCGTGAGCATTGTTTTGAATTGAGAAATAGTTTTAGACCTTTTGAGATTTCTGCTCTATTTATATTAGTTTACGAACGTTACACATGAAAACAGAAAAAAATCCAGAAGATGTCTTAGGTAGGTTCCCAGCGAGCGCCGATCGAGGGGAGGCATGAGCATTGTTTGAATTCAGAATTATGTTTAGACCTCTAGAGATTCTTGATTTATACATTAATATCAGGCTACGAACCTTATACATAAAAAATGAACAAAAATCCAGAAGTTAGGCCCCCAGCGAGCGCCGAACGAAGGGAGGCGTGAGCATTGTGTTCGATTTAAAAGTCGCCAAAGGACGTTCGCTTGCGCAGATCCAACTTAATAAAGTCAAGGGACCGAGCGAGTGGAGACGAGCGTTACCTTGTGTTATATAAAACAAAAGAAATAGAAGAATAATTCCATCTCATCTCTTTTGCTACCTCTACGTTCCAATGGAAAGCTAGCTTTTATCCTTCATTTTCCTCCTTTAAACATACATTGGTAGATGGCGAAAAAGCGCATAGTCTTTTCGTTGTATTCTTCTTTTGTTATTCATTTACTTTCTATTTACTAGAGTGAATGGCAAGCAAATGACATTCAAATGATTTTATTCACTTCTTCTTAAGGTGAATGACATAAATTCATGTACATGGTACCTAGTGAATAACCAGTGAATAAGCGGCGTATTTTACATTCACTACGGCAAAAGCAAGTGCATGGATACACTAGATGGAAAGTGGATGTACTGCAAATCACAAGTACATGGACAAAAATTTGATAGAGATATGCACTTAATGAACATAAATCATACACTCCAGGTGAATGCTTTGTTCATTCCGAGTGAATAAACTGTGAATAGCAAAAGATATTTTTTTACACTGTAGTCATACTGATTTTTCCTTTTCAGATGAAGGTTATAGCATAACAAAAGCATTGTCTGCTCGACGAACGCATTAAAATTTGATTGCACTATGTTCTCGAAGAAAAGTCGGAGTAAAATATAGTGGAATCAATCACAGATAACAAAACGGTGACTGAAAAAATGTGAAACTACTAGCATTATGAACACCATCAAGATGACCGTCCGGACGGGTGGTCAAATCGGTCCAAAAAACGATAATGACAGGACGCCGTTGCCCTGCGCAAATTGGCACTTTGCGGACCTCAGTCATACCCGCAGACAAGGCGTCGTGTTTCGCTACCGAACATGTTGTTTAAGATGGGCATCTGGACGGTCATCTTGATGGTGTCCTGTTGATTTGAAATAATTAAAACGCGACAGGTGTAGTCACAACACTAGTCCGGATACGCGTCCTCATCCGTCTTTTTCTGCGGCGTCCGGACGTCGTCATCCCGTCCAAAAGTGGCACTTTGCCCACACCTTTTTTGGTCTTGGTCACCCATCCGAGGCTAAAAACGGATCCCACTTTTTAGCCGTCTTTTGTTTACCTAGGTTATTAAAACATCTTTTTTAAATTTCAACCTGCTCAAATTTAAATACCTCCCCTGTACCATACAATCGTTCAACGTTCACTCTGCAGAAAAAGCTTTTCTTCACGTTGTTACGAATCCAAATTTGTCCTTTCCTTTTCTTCTATCTAACCCCGAAATGCTCATATTTTGCGTAGAATTTGTTGAGCTAGCGGAAACGAAATCTAAAGTTCTACATCTAAAGTAATAAATTGCTAGAGGAGAGTCATAGCTTCAACGTTTATGTAAAAATTTTTGGCGATACCTCGACTACTCCGATCCTACAAATGAGTATCAAAACTTGGCTTTCCGAGATGTCATTAAACACTTTATCTTCATTGAGGTGATCTAGACTTTTTCTTTCGTATGCTCACACGCCTCGTTTCTTCGTTGTACTATATTTATTCCGCTATTTACTAACAAGTTGGATCAAGCTCAGGAATGTTAGAAACCAGCCACATACACGAAAGTATAACGGAAAAACATCACTCTGTACAGATGTTGATATATAACGTATATATTTATCTATATTAGTGGCTAACAATTCCATCTTTGATTGATCAAATTGATATAGCACACGCGTATAAAAAATTTAAGTATCACCAGAAAAAATATTTATGAAAAATGAATGAATCATTTTAATTTAAATTATGTACTAGAAATGTTTAAAAAGTACTTGTGAACTATTTTCCGTACGATCTATGAGAGTAGAAAATGCTTGATAGCGTTCCCTTGGGGAAATTTTAGTAGATACCGCGGCGTGTACACCGGTGAACGTTGTGGAACGAAATGCGAGCGCAGGTGAATTGTGACACGACATTTTTGCGAACGACATTTCAACGGAAAATCGAACGAGCATAGTTTGAAGAAAAGCTATTATTTTTACATATTATGCAC